TCTGCCCACCTTTCCTGTCTGTCTACAGCTGTCTCTATCAATAAAGCCAATAAAAATAAGGCCAAAAAAAAATTCAGATACTATTTTGAAAGAGAGATTTTCTAGAAATATAATACAAGATCAAAATTTTAACTTTCAAAGTCAAAATGACTTTTACTTATTAATCAGTATTTGACTTACTATCTCATAACTTAGACTTATCTTATAATTAAGTAGCTCAGAAATTTGATTTGGGCAAAAATGGGCTTCCATACATGTTTTCAAGACATCCCCCGAGCTGGACCATATATCAGATGTCACAGTTAAATTAAGGACAGAATTGCAGAACTGACTTATTATCTTGATTGTGCATGTTCAAAGGATAGTTGGCAGTAATGCACTAGGAAAGGTTTTGAAGCTGAGGTATTGGAAAATGACGACACATTTTATGGAGCTATGGACCTTTAGTAATAGGAACCCATTCAACAATCATTTCCAGGAGCCATAAATATGTAACTCATGGCGTAAGAGTGCTCAACTGCTCGTGTGATTACAGTGTTAAAGGGTTAAATGAATATACAGGTCCTTCACCCACACCTGGGATTAGACACTCAACGTGGAGCAGGCCACAGCAGGATTAGCCTCTGCAAGAGAGCAGGAGCATGCTACTGCTTCAGCCGTTGTATACAATATGTTGCTCTGTGCCTGAACATATGTCTAATGAGCACGTAGATCTTGTCATAACAAAAGACTGCTCTGCCTACGCAGGGCTGACTCAATATGTTCTTTGTCCAAATAAGCAGCGTGCATACAGTCTGTGAATAGGGAAGTTACATGACGTACATACCTTGTAACATAGAGCAAATATTGATTGACGTAAGACACATCTGGAAGTGGACCACACTGGAGGAAAGAAATGAAGTTTAATTGCATTAACTGTGTTTAAGTGGCACTGGCTAAAAGCAGCTACTAAGTAGCAAATGTCAACCCTCCTCTTAATCAGAAATCCACATCCACAGCCACATGGTTACTGAGCTCTCTCCCTGCTGTTTGTGTTGTTGTGCTTCACTTCACCCCATCAAAGCATTAAACCACGACTGTGTGACATTTACAGTAAACACTTTCACCTCTTCTATTTACTGCTTTTACACCTGCTGTCTTCACAGCCATCTTAAAAGGAATCACTTTTTTCTTGAAAAGTTATAATTCTGACCTGACTCATCATAAAAGTAAAAGATATTATCTTTCTAGATATATATTCTGTTAATATCTCATAATTACATTTTTTGAATATAATATTGACTTTGAAAGTGTTACTTACTTTTATATATATATATATATATATATATAATAATTTGTACACTACACTGTGCAATAACAGTATAATATTACTGATTACACCTTTTAATTAACTGTTGACTCTCTCCTGTGTGTGTGTGTGTGTGCAGGAGGAGAGAGGCGGGCCGCGCCCTCGCCTCTGCCACATGAAGAAGGGAGCCAGCGGCTACGGCTTCAACCTGCACAGTGAGAAGTCCAAACCAGGCCAGTTCATCAGAGCCGTGGACGAGGACTCTCCGGCACAGAGGGCCGGCCTCAGACCACAGGACAAGATCATCCAGGTAGCCACACACAGTCCCCTTTTCACATTGTTCTTGATTACTGAGAGTTTTGCCTGAGTGTGTGTGTGTGTGTGTGTATGTTTTGTCTGTATGTGTATCTGCTGTAATCCTATTACATCAGTGGACAAATGGGAAACTGAAATCCCGGGGGCCGTTGGGTTGTTCTCACATCGAGTGTATGCACTGTGCATATGTTTGTGTGTGTGTGTGCAGGTGTGTTCATGTTCCTGTGTGTCTGTGTTGTGTGTTTGAAGCACAAATGGGTATTTTCTCCCTCCCTGTGTGTGTGACGACCAGGCCTTCTGGCCATGTTGAACATGGCAGGGTCAGAGTTAATCCACTTACTGTGTCTGTGGGCTGAATGACAGCCTGCCTAAACAGTCTGTAGGGCCTCTGACACTCAGGAGAGAAGGGGGGGTACATGGTGGTGTAAATGAAGTAACACCACAACTGTACATAATGTATTCACATCAAGATAGAAGCTTTAAACAGGACATTGTGGGGGTTTAAAGGTGGGTTTCTGGAGCCACAACGCTGGGAATTTAAAGAATTCTCTGTGGGAGTCAGGGGAGTCAGTCAGACAAGGGTCACCGGGGGGGTAGTATAGTGTTCTGTACCACCTGTCCGATGTTCACAGCCAGTGTGGGAGTTGGTGAGACTGAGAGATTCCTGACGGTATTCCCACCTCGGATCGTCCTCCCACAGGAATTCCTCAGTGGCTTATCTCCCTGGATTCTTGATTCGTTCCAACTCTTGGAGTATGCTTGTGTACCACGCCCTGAGTTGGTAATGCTTTTACCAAATATTTTCCATCACTGGTACCATTGTTCTTCTGCCACTCTGTTTATCATTTTTTGGTACAGTCACAAAGTTGGCAACTGCATCTTTTGTTTAGCCTTCATCATTACTCTGCAGGCCCTCTGTGTCCACTGTTCTTATCGTCCAAGTGTTTGGAGTATTTCCAGCTCTGCAAGCAAACCTTTCTGTCATTTGTTGTGGGAACAGCTGTAGGGTACTATAGCTTTAGTCTGATATTTAGAGGCTTATGGTGCTTTTTTTGTAATTCAAGTTTTTATTTCTAAACATGGTACATAGCTCATTGGGTACAGCTTACATACAAAAATACAGAGGTACAGTAAACAAACAGCCTACGGGTTAGAGGTCAGGAGTCAGGTAGCTGTCAATTTTTGAATTTCTGTTTCATCTCCTATAAGGCAAAAACGTGGGGATAAGGATATTCCTACCCACACCTCTAAGAATTTCAGTCCACTTTGCCAAAATGGGTTGACCGTAGAACATTCCCATATGAGATGTATGAATGTGCCCTTCTGTCTCACACAATTAATTAGTTCATATTTCTTTATCTGTTTATTGCTATTATTATTATTATTATTATTAATTGAATAATGTATTAATGGTGTAGTTAATGTTGAACATCTACTCATTCACCAGTTGTCCAGTCTAGCCTAGCTCGTTTGTTTGTTCCAGCCAAAGTGCCTCTGAGCTGCTCCACAGTCATTGTACTGAAGGCCAGAGTGATTTTCCTCTCAGGGATCAGTGAAATGGAATAAAGCGGAGCTGCTAGTTTCACTCACTGGTTAGTGCCACCGAGGGTTTAATGCTGCTTTTGGAGATTTGTGATACTATAATAGAAATCTTAGGTAATTTCTCCAAATCTGGAGCCGTTTGTTTGGTCTTACAGTGAGTGGAAATCACTTTATTGATATAAAACCTGGGTCATTTAGTGCTAGTGCTGTGAGAGCTTAACCCTGTAGAGGAATTAGGATTAGAAATGATTTCATCAGCTCATTATTTCAAAAAACACTAAATAAACTGCCAACCTTTTTCTTATTCAGTTCATTGTTTTAAGTTATTTATCAAACAGAAATGTCAAACATTCCTGAGTTCTTGCTTCTTAAATGTGAATATTTGCTGCTTTTCAAGGGTTTCCAACTGTCCTGGAAAACCTGGTAAACATCCAGTCATGGAAACACATCATATTTGGTCATTTTAATCCATGTTGTCCTTGAAAGTTGTAATTGTATTTTAGCCCCTCACTCTGACGCGTATTTAGTTAGGAACTCGACTATTGGTAGGATGAGCTGTGCGCACACTTTAAAAAGGGTTTACCAGATGCTGACAGGAAAGGACTTGTAGCCATCTTTCAGAGTTGCGGTTAAAGGAAAACCGTAGCCAATTCACGGGAGACCCCGGCTCCGCTGCACTGTGACTGCAGCAGCTCTCAGAAAGGCTGACCACTACCTGTGATAAAGCTGAGACTTGACCATGCTCTCTGCGTCATTAATAAAGAGTTGAATGTGTCAATACCATAAACCGGTGTAAATGATGTGTCTGTTTGTGAGCAAGTGTGGTCCGGTACTGTCAGGAACTCCTCTGGAAAATGATTGCTTATGAATTGAATCTTGGGGGTTTGGACCTTTTTGGTTGGACAAAACAAGACGTTTAAAGAGGTCAGCTGAGGGGATCTGTGATCACTAGTTTTTGTCTAATCAGAGATGAAATGAATAATGGACTAATGAATAAAATGAATTTGTTGAGCTGTGGTAGCAGCTTTTCAAATCAGTCTGCTCTTATACTGCATAATTCATCTGAGTGTGTGTACGATTCAGAGAGTCAGACAAGTGAGCATAAAGCCTCTCCTCCTCTCTCAGGTGAACGGTGTGTCGATGATTGGCAAGCAGCACTCAGAGGTGGTGGCAGCCATCAAAGCGGGAGGAGACGAGACCACTATGCTGGTGGTCGATGCCGAGACTGAAGAATTCTTCAAGAGATGCAACGTCCTGCCCACCGAGGAACATGTCACTGGTATGTCACTCAAATGCCCAGATAGTGTCGCCAGAATCAGTGTGATCAGAAATATATATGCTAACTGATGAT